CATGACACTTTTCCTCTATGTTTTCTTCTAGGAGCTTTATAGTTCAAGGCCTTGCATCTGCATGTTTAATCCATTTTGAGTTAATTTTTGTATATGGTATTAGGTAAGGGTCTATCTTCATTCTATTCCTAAACTGGGTATCCAGTTTTTCTAACATCATTTGTTGAAAAGACTATCCTTTACCCATTGTATATTCTTGGCACTCTTGTCAATGACTGTTTGACCATATATGTGGGATTTATTTCTGGGTTCTTTATTTTGTTCCATTGGTCTGTATGTCTGTCTTTATGCCAGTACTGTTTTTATTACTGTAGCTTTGTAATATGTTTTATAGTAAGGAAGTGTGAGGCCTCCAGCTTTGTTCTTCGTTTTCAAGATTGGTTTGGCTATTTGGGCTCCTTTGAGATTCCATATGAATTTTAGGATAGGTTTTTCTATTTCCACAAAAAAAATCATTGAGATTTTGATAGGGATTGCATTGAATCTGTAGATTGCTTTGGGTAGTGTGAACATCTTAACAATAAATATTAAGTCTTCCAATCATGAACAGGGGATTACTTTTCGTATATTTTTGTCTTTAATTTTTTTCAGAAATGTTTTGTAGTTTTCATTGTACAAGTCTTTCACTTTCTGGGTTAGGTTGACTCCTAAGTATTTTATTATTTTTGATGCTATTTTAATTGTATTGTTTTCTTAATTTCTTTTTCAGTTTGTTCATTGTTAGTGTATAGAAATGCAACTGACTTTTGAGAGTTAATTTTGTATCCTGCAACTTTGCTGAATTCATTTATTTGTTCTAACAGTGTTTTTTTGTGGAATCTTTAGGGTTTTCTACATATAATAAGATCATGCCATCTGGAACACAGATAATTTTACTTCTTTCTTTTCCATTTGGGATATTTTTATTTCCTTTTCTTACCTAATTGCTCTGGCTCAGACTTCCAGTTCTACATTGATTAGAAGTGGTGAGGGTGGGTATCTTTGCTTTGTTTCTGATCTTAGAGGGAAATCTTTCAGTTTTTCACCATTGAGTATGATGTTAGCTGTGGCCTTTTCATATATGACCTGATATTATACTTTTTTTAAAGGTGTAAATGTCATCATTTAATATGTTTGTAACTTTGAACATAATTAAACTAAAGAGAAATAGTGGATTAGATTTTAGGGAAGGAATGAGGCAAACAGACAACTTACTAAAATTAAGTAAAATACAGGGAACCTGGATCAAAATGCTACTACTTATTTCCTGGGCAAATAATTCATGGAGAATTTGCTTGGTTTCAATTTGCAGACCCCACTGCAATCTGATGTTCATCCAAACTTCTTGGCTGTCTTGAAGGTAACTTCAAGATATTGCAAAACCAGTGGTCTTTTCTTAAACACCTTTTCCTTGATTTCTCTGTAGCATTTGGCTACATTCTTCTTAACTGTTTCATTGCTCAGTTTTCATTTCTTTGTGTTTTTTTGCTACTTTGACTGCTCTTTTGCCATAACTCCTCTTTCTCCTCTTGTTTTATAAATGTGGATATCCCTGAGGTTCTGTTTTTGATCCCATCTCTTTTCTTGCTGTACGTTCTCCCACAGCTATCTCATTGACTAACCATCACGGCTTCAGTCATCATCAGTATGCAGTTGATTCACAAATCTGTCTCTCTCTTATATTACAAATTCACTTTGGATAGCTACATCTAAATGTCCTACCAGAACGTCATGTTGAAGATGCCTATAACTAAATATGTTATCTTTCTTTCTCCCTTGTCTTGTGACTACCATGATCTAGGCACCTGCTCCCCAAAATCTCATGCTTTGTATCCATCCCTCTGTCCTTTATTCCTAAGATTATACTCTAGTTGGGACCCTTAATGTCTTTTGCCTGGTAGTATTGCAGTCATCTTCTGATCTTCTTTTTTTCTCCCTGCACCCTTGTACCTACTGAAATCTACCTTATATAATTCTGTTAGTATAATTTTACTAAAACGTAGAGCTAATTTTTACTCTTAAACCAAAAACCTTTTTTGGTTTTCTCTTGTACTTAGAGTAAAGTTAATTCCCAAATGTAGCATATATCTGACTTCAGATTGCCTCTTGTGTTTGATCTACCATTGTTCCTGTATCCATGTCAGCCTAACTCGGCTACTCACCATTCCCCAAACATGGTTGGTGTGCTGCTGCTGCCAAGCCCTTGCTCATGCCATTTCCTTTCCTGTCCTTTGGAATACCTTTCCTTGCATTCTTCAATAGCCTTTAAGGTCGACCTCAAATTCCATCTTTTCTACAAAATACTAATCTGAACTGTGTGTGACTTGTTTATTTTCTGTTCTAAAATCCTTCAAGTGGTGTTTTCCTACAGGCTGTTTCTTGAAATTATAAAGGTCTTTGTGATTTGGTCTTTGTTTGCTTTTCTAGCCATGTGTCTAGCTACTCCTCCTCAGGAACCCTATGGTTCACCACACAATCCACATAGAATCACTTCTTGTTCCTCAGAGTGAGCCTGAAGGCTTTCATGCCCATGTCATTTCCCCTGTGTGGCATATCTTCCACTGAGTGTTTTTTTAGGAGTGTGAGCAGATAGAATTGTTGGTGATGGTGGCTTTTGAACTAGTTCTGCATAGATGTCCTCCATCACATAGACAGCCTCCATCTACTGACTTCTACAAGCATTTTGGCATAGTGGAAAGAGCTGACATTTGAGCTTTAGTTAAAACTGTGGTTTTGATATTTACTAGCCATGTGAACTTGGTAAAAGTACTCAATTTTTCTGAATGCTTTTTCCTGATCTGTAAAATAGAGATGGTAATTAAGTTGACAGGACTAATACAAAATTTAAGTGAGAACCTGTGTATAAGATGCCTAGCATATAGTAAGCCTTCAACAAATGATATTAAGGGAAAAAAAAAAAAAAGAAGAAAGCTGCTTTCCCTGCATGGAATCAGTTCTGTTTGATGGGGGCTTGGGAAGTGGTGCTAGGGTGTATAAGATGCCTAGCATATAGTAAGCCTTCAACAAATGATATTAAGGGAAAAAAAAAAAGAAGAAAGCTGCTTTCCCTGCATGGAATCAGTTCTGTTTGATGGGGGCTTGGGAAGTGGTGCTAGAATGAGACAGGGTGCTGAAGGCAGAGCACAAAGGATATCTTCCTACTTCTGGGGGACTGGTTTTCTAACCACAAATTCCAGTTAGAGATCAGGTGAAACTTGTCCCTGCAGTAAGCTAGTGACTTCTTCCTTATAGTGCACATAACACTTGGTTCATATCTCTACAAAAAGAAATGCTTTGCTCATATTGTCCTGATGTCCACTCCTCCTCCTCCAGTACATCTTCCATATTGTCCCAGAATATGGCTTTTAAAATGAAGATTGTGTTGCTTCCTTGAACTGTTTCAGTACACATAAAGTCCCAATTCCTTAACATGAGTGATAAGGCTGTTCATTATCTGGTCTTCACCTACTTCTCTAGCCTCATCTTTCACTGTTTTCCATGCAATGGACACTTGCCATTTTTTTTTTTTTTTCTGTCTAGCATCTGAACCTTTTTTCTTATGTTTGGGAAATTCCACAGGGTCTTGGTGGGGAACAGGACCTGTCTCACCTCAGAAATGAAAAGTTCAGATACTCACTTTCCCTGCTCCTTGCCAGCTAGAGAACAGGAATATGACCCAGTCTCAGCCAGTAGGACTGAGTGACACAGAGGATCAAGGACAGGGGCAGTGGTAGCAGTGGTAACAGTGGTGGTGGCTTCATGTTACACTGGCAGTGGTGTCTCCACCAGCCTGTTCCTGTGAGTGGTTTCAGCTGCAGTTCTCGCTTCCTATCCTGCTTTGATACTGGCTAGTTTCAAAGCCTAGATTTTCCAACCCTTACACTGGATCTGTGAAGTTACCCATTTTGTAAATTCCTTTTCTGTTTAAAGGAACCCAAGGTGGTTTCTGTTACTTGCACTTATGCAGAGCCTTGACTCATACCACCCTCCAGCACCAAGTGCCCTTTTCACATTAAACTTCCTACAGCTCTTGCCAACTGATCATGGTAGTCTCCATTCCACCTCTGGGCTTTCTTATATTCTCTTCTACCTGGAACACCTTTTATCCCATTCTTGATCTGGTTGAGTCTTGATGGTCCTTTAGGACTGAGCTCTTGTCATGTCACTCTTTCTGCAAATCTTCCCCCAAATCTCAAGATTTTGTTAGCTCCTCAGCGTTCCCACAGTTGTCCTCTGTTTATCTCTATTATAGTACTTGGCACGCTATATTGAAATAGTCTTTATATTCCTTGGAGACATGGGCTAGTATTATGTTGAGTATCATTGCACTGTCCCTAGAAATAATAATCACTATCTAAATTTTATTTGTTGAATGGGTAAAAAGCTATTGAATTTTACAGTTATGTTAAAATTTGTCTACTTGCACATCTGTTTTCCCTAATAGACTGTGAACATTCTAAGAGCACAGAGTTGTTCATCTTTATGTCCTTAATTTATAGCACAATATTTGGCTTATAGTAGATGCTGAGGGAATGTTGAATGCGTAAATTAATGAACGAATGAGTGAATGAATGAATGGCAGGGCTGTCTTTTTAGAATTTCAGTTAAACAGTTTTTTCCAAAAGAAGGTATCTTCTTTGCACTGTGTAGGTAAAAATGAGGTATCTGCATGTGGCTTGCACTGAGTAATTGTCATTCTTAGCTCCATCTGTATACTAGTATTGGTAATCTATTTAGGAAAATAATGTGTATATATGAAAAAGTAACTGTTTGAATGATCAGTATTTTATGTAATAAGTGAGTGATATGAGTAGGTGTTGCTTCAGTGTCCGGCTAAATATAACATTCTTCATTGAGCCATTGAAAGTGTAGTACCCAGAGCAAATATGAAGGACATGGCTATTGGTTAACTGGATTGATTAATATGGAAGCCTGAGGGGACTTTGTCTTTCTATTTTTCTTGGCTTATATACTGCATATTTTGGACTGGTTCATTGGGGCTTTTCCTCGTTCCTTTTTAGGTCCAAGACAACTTTGACAAGATTGAATTCAATAGGATGTGTTGGACGCTGTGTGTCAAAAAAAACCTGACAAAGAGTCCCCTGCTCATTATGGAAGAAGATGCATTTAAAGTATGGGTTATTTTCAACTTTTTATCTGAGGACAAGTATCCATTAATTATTGTACCAGAAGAGGTAAGGTGTGACTTTGGGAGTTTTTACATGGCCATCTTAGCATTTAATAGACCTGGCTTGGAAGGATTTGGGTTAATTCAGTATAGATATGGAAGGAGATCCTTGACTAGTGTTTTTGGATTAGAGGCAAAACAACTTGAATCCAGAAGCAGCCCAAACTTAGTGATTTTGGGGGCAGGTAATACCTCTAGAGGTTTGCAGATAGGGCGAGACTCTTCTTCTCTAAGTTGCTATGGTTATAAATGAATCTCTCCTCCTGTCCAAACAGTCTCTATTCAGTACAAGTCACAACATAATTTTCTGTCTACTTGAATATTGGCAAAATCATACTCGCTAAGTGATGTTATATGGGAAACACATAGGATCCAGAATGTTGTTCTCAAAGCCATTTTATGTGAGTAAATACTATTCTTGTTTTCAAAGGCCAGGATGATGACTTTATGTACTTTTCAAAGTAAAACAGAACATCTGCTTGTTTGGTTCTGGGTTATTTTCCCTGAACTTCCAAAAGAAAAAAAAAAGGAGTA